CTTATATATGCTGAGCACTGAAGGATTCGGATTTCTACCTTTAAATACATCTAAACGTAATTCAGCGTTTATCCTTTTTCTCATCATCCTCTTTTTCATTACTTTTATTAAAAATAACTATTTGATTATTTGAATGAGTATTTAACTTTGAAATTGATTTGAACCAATGAATAAGTAACACTGCTTTATGAAAGAATGTTCAGTGTCCTTGCTCCTCTCTTAGCCTGTGTATTTTAACTTTGTTTTCAGGAGACACACAAAAACCAGGTCAAAGGTCATGGAGACCTCTGTTTCTCTCCCTCTGTCCCTCTGAACGGAATTACTGATGCAGAGGAGAGGAAAACACCTGTTCTATTTGTTATGATACTGTCTACAGTAATTTAGCTGTTTTGGTTGATAATTCTTTTTAAAGTAATTCAATTTGTATGGTAGATGGACACTGTGTGTAGTGAGGATATTGAAGCCAAATGATGATGAAACCAGTCTTTATCCAATTTGATAAGACAGCTTAACGTACAAGAAACAACCTTGAGTTTCCACAACAGATTGTCTCTTGCGTCTCTTGCATCCATGATTTAGCTTTTTACAGGTCTAAGATCAGCTCTTAATAGTTTAGGGTCGACCTGACCCCCAAAAACCATGGCGCCATCCATATCTGGAGTTTGATACAATTCTTCCTTGACGCACACATTTAGAGATGTCTATTTCTGCTGTAACCAATGAAAACTGTTTACCTGGATCCAACCTTTTCTGGGCTTGTGTAAAGAGTATAATTGCTGCATTGTTTTACTGTAATTCAGAACGGCCTAGGAACTCATTGCAAGTGTTGAAGCTGGCTTCTGCTGATGAAACTTCAAACTATCTTCAGTAAACTTTATTTATTTATTTATTTGAATCTCTGACTCTGGCTCTTCTTCATCCGACAGACTGTTCATTCTTTGGGTCAAAACTGTATACCATCCCTACAGCACTGTAAGTTATTTATTGGTTTATCTTCCCCACAAGGTGTAAATACAGAGCCTCAAGTACCATCAAAGTGGTTTATTTAAATACATGAATAATTTTCCAGCTCAATCAATATAGCGAGAGTTTGAGGTGTGACTTCTGAAGCCGGCTGAGCAAAGAGGGTGTCTAGTTGATGTGAGACGGTGACTTGAGAAAAAAAAAATCACAAGCGCAAGTCAAAATTTGCCAGCTTGCCAAAATGCCCAGACACAGACAACAGAGTATTACAAGGTCAAACATTGGCGAGACATTTACAAGATGAAGGATTTTGATGGAATGTTCGCTGAACTCACAGTTTTGTTTTTGTTTTGGTTTTTGACAGGTAAGCTGAGCTAAATGTTTCTGAAAAACATCAGCTCTGTCAACATATGTATAATACAAATAATTTAAAGATACTGTAACTAGCAAAACAGGTAATATGCTTAAGTGCAGTTTGCAACCTTTTGCGTAGGGCTGTGCAATATTTGAAAAAAAAAATGATATGTGATAGTATGCTAATAACGCAAAATTCAATACACAACACAACATTAAACTGCTAATTATTTTTAGGCAAAATAAAGCATCAATACAATTTTCTGAAAGTGAACAGCCATGTTTACTGTTGCAAAAAACAAATTAGACTTTTCAATATTGTTAACAAAAAAAGTAAATATCACCAAAACTTTGCTGCACTGATATAGTTTTATCAAACTGAAAACATCAAGAACACAATCAGGAAAACAAAATTTATCTGAAACAGAGTCAATTTACTTTTTTGCCGTCTTATTGCTTTCTTAACATTGCTTGCTTTTGCTTGGTCATTTTAGCATTCATACTAAAATCCTTACACATTTTGTTTACAAGGAAACCAGTATGTCATTTCTGCTTAGGTTTAGAGATGCACATTAAAATTCAACTTCACTTTTAAAGAGTGTGCTAATGGGAAGCACACAAATATTTTTTTTATTTATTTAATCACTCTTATTTAAAACCATTGTGATATGTACTGTACACTCCTTGACAAAAGTCTTGTAGTTTAGGAAGTTTTAGGAACAACAAATAAAAACTTGACTTCTAGTTGATCATTTATTAACTTATGGCAAAGAAAGAGTTCTTGCAGGACTCTCAGAGTTCATCAAGATTCTTTGGATTCCTCTTCAATGCCTCCTCCTTCATCTTACCCCAGATATGCTCAACAATGTTCATGTCTGGTGACTGGGCTGGCCAATCCTAGAGAAACTTGACCTTCATTGCTTTCAGAAACTTTGATGTTTCTGACTTTAAAGCTGAATTATGAAAGGGAGCTATTCTGCTGAAGAATTTTCCCTCTCCTGTGGTTGATAATGTAATGGGCCGCAGAAATTACTTCATCGCTCAAGCTGTTGATGTTGCCATCCACTCTGCAAATCTCTCAAACGCATCCATATCAAATGTAACCTCAAACCATGATTATTCTTTCATCAAACTTGACTGATTTCTGTGTGAATCTCTATGTGGGTTCCAACTAGTCTTCTGCAGTATTTGTGATGATTGAGATGCAGATCAACAAAAGATTCATCAGAAAAATCTACCTTCTGACACGTATACAAATGATCAACTAGAAGTCAAGTTATTATTTGTTGCTCTTACAACTGGGATCAACAACAAGACTTTTGTCAGGCAGTTTATATAATTATATGCACATTTTAACAACTTTAACATATTGCACAGTCCTACTTCTACATACTTTGTTGTCTTAACATACTATTTGGATTTTTTTTCTTTCCACTTATAAAGTCATGATTACAAGCTCATTCATGCACTTTTATGTCACAAAGAATAAAATGTAGCATCTCAGTAGTTAAACATTAACCTTGTTAAATATTCAGATTGGTTATGATTCTGGATTTTCAGTCAAATATATGCTAATGTGACTGTTTATAAAATGTAAAATATGCTTCAAATGTTTGCTCAAATAGCTTTGCTATATGGCTGTATATCAACATGACTGCATTGCCAAAGGGCAAGTAGCATAGCTAATCACAGTTGTACTGGTAAACAGCCATATCTCAGTGTTATGAGCGTGGTATTACATTTTTACAACTGAACTGTTTAATGATACCAATGTGTAAATAAAAAGAAATAATAATTTCTGCCGCAGATTTCAATCAAAATTGTCTGTTTCAATAGCTGACGACAAAAATAATCTCTTATTAAAAAAAATTAATGCATTCAATCAGGTATATAATGCAAAATGGAATTTAAATAAATCTCTAACAATAACTTTGTAAATGCCAAAGCAAAGCAAATGCTAAATTACAGCAACAGTATATTATACTGTGACATAACAATACTATGCGAGAAAAAATAAATCAAAAGAGAAAGCGAGATTTACTGTTATACCTATGTTCATTCAAGTCAAACATCATTCATCTTAATAATTTGATTTGAATTAATCAAAGTAGTTTAATAAATTAAAATTATTTAATAAATCAAATTAAATTAATTAATTTGTCCATTGAGGAAAGCAATGTATTATTTGGCAAATTAGGAGATTACACACCACTGGTTTTGTTTCCTTTTAATGCAGAAGTCTTCAGAACTGATTTATTTCACAAAGTTGCTGAAAAAGACTCTCACTAGTTAGATTTGACAACTAGAAAGTTGTTTAAATATATATTACACTGAATATTTTGGCCTGCCCTATGTGTACCCTGGTATTGAAACCCGTTTCCCAAAAAATATGAAGGCAGTATTAGCAGTATGCCTGACAGCGAGCCTGTTTTATTATTTTGCTCCGATATATTCTGTGACTTTCTGCTGTTCTTGAGTTTGTATATTTCCTGAGAATAAGAAATACACTTCATGGATCTTGCTCTGCCACATTTCTTAGTTTGATGTTGTTAAAAATAAACAAAAGCTATATCTAAAAAACAAACTATTGTCACTAAGATATCAGTTGACATGCTTGATGAAAAAGACTGCTGTCATCCATATATAATGGCTTCAGAATTTATAACTTCAGAATTTGTAACTAAATGTGTGTAATATACACTGTTAAGCAAAATATTAAAGTCTCTTCAAATCATGCGAAGCACAGACCTTATTTTACTCACAAATCGAAGAAAACCCCTTTAGGAAAGTCCCAAGGGAAGCCATGGTCAATTAGTCTTCCGGGTTGGTCCACAAATTGATTTCATGACTGAACAGTTCTATAGCACAGAGTTTTGTGAATAGGACGCAATCAATAATGAGCCTAATTTGCATAGAAATGAGGCATGTTTGTGCTGAAAATAATGACAGTGACTTTATTTAAATATGCTGCAATGATTCTCCAGTGCATTTAGCACCTGGTTAAGCTACTGGCTGATTTTTTTTGTGCAGAAACACTGTGCATTTCCTTGGTTCAAATGCTAAATGAATTCACTCTGATGCGCTCATTTATTTGCCTTGTGCTGTTCTGGTCATGGAGATCTGTAAGTGATTGCAGTAATGGTTTAGAGTTCTTTTCTGATGTCAACATGATAGCTTGATAATGATTGGATATGGCAAATATGATAGAGTGTCTCCACTCGCATGTGAAATATGGTGCAGTCAGTACTCGGCCAACACTCAAATCACAAATGAGGATCTTTCAGTGAACTTCAAACAGATTATCAGAACAATCCTGAGGGAATCAGGGAGCCGTAAGTAAAATTACTACACCCGAGGCACTGGAAATGTCAAAGTATAACCCTATTACAAACTGAGCAGAGCACCGCAACAGGATTACACTGCTGATCATCATGTTTCTCAAACTTTCCCAGCAATATCCTCCAGAGCTCCTAAATCACAAATCATCTGCTGTTCATCTTAGTGACATCCTGAGCAACCTTACAGAATATTACAACATTTTATCACCATTGCAACTCCACTGGCAATGCAGATACGAGAAAAAGAAAAAAACTAATATTGAAATATTTACCTTACCCTGAAAAAGTTGGCAGCAGTTCTTATAAACTCATTGCACTTTTGAAACAGCATAAAAAAAAGCCAACCTGAGTCTGAGCTGTACATGTAGACGAACTTATTCCACTTGTAGTGCTCGACGAGGGCGATCAGAGCATCCTGGAGCTCAGGTCTCAGCTGGATCACAAACTGGTTGTTGGTGTCGATGGGGAAGCTCGGCGTGACGAAACATACGTGCAAAGCGCCACAGAACGACATCAGCATGTTCATGGTCTTCCTGTCATACAGACCGATGATGGCGTAGACTCCTTTGGAGAACTGTGAACAAACTGGAAAACAGGAAAAGAAATGTAAGAAAATGACATTTGCTTCATTCAAAATTATATGTTCATGCAGGAAAAAAAGAATATATACAAGTAGTATTTATGAAGGATCCCTTTAGACATTCTGTTGACTCTTAAAGTAATTCTAATGTTAAATATCCGGTTGAAAGAACAGTTCATAAAAAATGCTATCATCATTATAACACTGAGCACCACAATGGTGACCTCAAAATGTAACTTAAGTAAACTTAGAAGCAATTTTGAGTTATAATTAACAATTAATAATAATAATAATAATAATAATTCCTTACATTTATATAGTGCTTTTCTGGACACTCAAAGCACTTTTTACACATTTTAGTGGGGAATCTCCTCATCCACCACCAGTGTGCAGCATCCACCTAGATGGCTCGACGGCAGCTATATTGCGCCAGACCGCACACCACACACCAGCTGAATGGTGGAGAGGAGACAATTATGATATGGGGATGGTTAGGAGGGCATGATGGACAGAGGCCAGTGGGCAAATTTGGGCAGGATGTCGGGGTTAAATCCCTACTCTTTTTCGAAGGACATCCTGGGATTTATAACGACCATAGAGAGTCAGGACCTCGGTTTAACGTCTCATGAAAAAACTGCAGTCACTGAGCAGTATAGAGTCCCCTTCACTGTACTGGGGCGTTAGGACCCAGCTAGGCAGTAACCTTATTTTCCCATGTGGTCTCCCATCCATGTACTGACAGATACAGCCCAGCTTAGCTTCAGTGGACGACCATGTGAGAGTTGCAGAGAACATGCGAAATTGATGCATCAAAGGGAGAGTTTAATCAAAACTAAAAATTTATTCACACTTATCACAAACCTTTCTGAGTTTCTTCTGTTGAACACAAAAGAAGATAATTTGAATAAAATCCTTTGATGGCGGGAAAATAGTAAGTAATTATCATTTTTGAGTAAACTATTGCTTTATTATACATCTAAAATCTAAACTTAAGTGACAGCACAAATAGACAAAGTAAAAATATAATACAAATAAATATTAGGTATAAGATATTTTAAATGACTGGCTTTACAGTGAAAAAAGCCATTTAAATAAGAAAAAAAATTATTTTTACATTGGTAAGACATCTTGGGATTTAGCGAATAACACTTCAAAAAGTCCTCATAAAGGATGGATATAGTGTGGGTGAGGTCGAATCAAAAGTCTGAAAACCCTTGAGGAAAATTGACATTTATTCATTCAAAAAAATAAATAAAGGAAAAGAAGGTTTCTACTACAAACAAAGCAAAACCACTGACAAAATGCACAAAAGCACTTGGGTACATAGTTACTAACTGCTTTTATATACACTGTATATATATAAAAAAAAAAGTGCTGTGAGAATTTCCAGGTAGAAGACTTGCACTGAAACACTAATGATTATTAAAAGCATTTAACATCACTCACTCAATACTCTGACATGTGCTTTATGCGGCGAATGCCGTTCCAGCCACAACCCAGCACTGGGAAACATCCATACAATCTCACATTCACACACTACAATCAATTTAGTTTATCCAATTCACCCATTCCCGCCCAAAGATGGGGTGAACATGCAAACTCAATACAAAATACCTACTGGCCCTGGTCTTCAACCAGTGCCTTTTTTGCTGTAAAGCGAGAGTGCTAACCACTGAGCTCCCATTCAATTATGCAACATTATTTACCAAGGTTTTTTAAAGTAATTTTTTAATTCACAAAAACCAATGTCTTAACTTATATTACATCTTAACTTATTATCTTTATCGACTGCTCGTTTGCAACATACTGTAAATCCTAGTTTATACTTCTGCGTCGAGTGATCGGCGTGACCCACAGTGCCTGCCTTGCACATGGTCATGCATTTGTACTTCTGCGTGCTTTTTTTGCTGCTCTTTAATAACATTTTCAAAACGCTAGCTGGCTATAGGCTCTTATGTTCCTCTGTGTTGAGTTCCTTCACAGGTGTTTTGTTTCTGAACGCTACAAGTAGCTAAAACTCGCTCATGCTATGGCGGGAACTGGCAGACGTGCAACAACTTTGATCATAAGGTAAACACAAAAAATCCGGAGCTCCATAACGGGACTCGACATTTCTAAGCAATTGCTCCATTGGGATCGCGGCTCTCAGCACCACTCACACTAATCATCACTGCCAAGCTGACCAATCACAGAGTTTGCTCTTTGCCTTGTTGCAACGTGTAGTTACATACATTTTTTTATTCTGATATATATATTTTTTTTTCACTTTTAATTTGGATAAGATAGAGGAGGACAGACAGGAAAGTATTGGGAATAGAGAGAGGGGAAGGGTCGGTAAAGGATCTCAAGCCAGGAATCAAACTCGGGTCGTTATGAGCACCATGGTGCTGCATGTCTGCGCACTTAACCACTAGGCTATTGGCGCCAACTGTAGTTACATGTTTTGAGAGGTGCACGTCAACATCTGCGTCAGCCATGGCGAGGGCTATGCGACCGATAAAAATTAAAATGCATTGCTTGATCTGTGCTATTTAACTAGTACATTGTAAGTAGATCACTCACATAATTTTTCATCTCTGCTTTTACAGAACTCCACAAGCAAATCTCACCCTTAATTTAAAAACACCTCTTTTCCAGGACACAAGCAACTCTGAAATAAAGCATCAACTCATTACCATTAAAAAACTTGTGAAACCCTCTCTATAACTGTACCTCTTCAATCAATGCTGAGAGGTCGAAACAAGAAAGCAAGTGCTTAGGGGAGTCAATACATTATCAAAAATTCTGTCATGATCACCCCCTAAAGCACTTCCTCCTAAAAAAAACAAGACCTCAATATGTCCTGCCCTGCATTCTTCATTGTAATTACAGTGACAGTGAAACCTCCACCCACCAATCATCTCCGCTCCATCCCCCTCACAGCCAGCTAAACCCCATGTGCTCAAGAGGCACATGGCAATTGATTTTTATTGCAGTTCTCCAGTAGAGGACCTGTTTCTTGTGTCTGTGCGTCCTCTGTTGCAGACGGTGTCAAATCGGGGTCTACTCAAACAGAAAAAAAAAACAACTTTTATTATTGAGTATTGAGTTTCACCTGCGACTGTATCCTCTTCTGCAGTTATAATTATATCCACTGCTCTGTCCCTTCCACATTGCATATATTAATAATAATGCAGGCATTTCCAGACATAATTATAGCAGATTTGCAATAAAACACCTCTTTTACCACACATTTCAATCACAGCGGCCAAAACTCAAAAGTGTTTCCAAGCTAAGACCTTCTATTCGTTCCAGCGAAGGTATAACTTCAGTGGATTTTCGTACCATTTGCATTCAGACATGTTGGTTCCCTGCGGCTGTGAGCATGAGAATGAGGGATGTGCCACAGTTGTGACATACTTCAGCTCCAAATCTTTCCTTTGGGCAAATAAACTTTCAAACCAGGCTCAGAAAACAACTCTGATAGCAGATAGCTTTCTCTGCTCCTCATCTACTACAGCAGGCAAAATTTAAGCCATAATAATCACTGATAGAGAGGACAGACGAAAAGCACTGTCACTCGGAGATGCATATCTCTTAAAACAGACGATAAAGAGGCCGCACAATGCATTTATCTCAATCATTTGGAAAGATAACGAGAGATTCCTGTGTGCACATCTTCTTTATCAGCGTTCTTCATGCCTACCGCAGATTAATAAAAAAAGGAGGAGGAGGGGGCGGCGGAAAAAAAGAACAACTCATTTTTATGCAGTGCTGGTGGAAAGGAGTATCGGGGTTTGAATCTCGTGTGGAGAGGGATGCGCATGAATGTATAGTCAGGGCTGGGGAGGAGAAAACAAGTTCTCCGCCTGAGGTGATCTCCACGATGCTGAATGATGTTTGTGACAGGTGGGTCCAGCGTGAGTGATCGCGTCTGATCTTCAGTCACTGCAGTGAAGATGAGAGGAGCTCGGCTGCATCAATCTGTTCCAGCGGCCTCTGTTCTCCTTGCCTTTGGTTACTGAGCAGCTGAGGTAAAAAAAAAAAAAAATGGGGGGTGTTTGAACTGATGTGCAGTCCTGAGGGAGTCATGCCATGGCTGAGAAACCAAAAATGGTGACAGGGGTCATATATGCCAGCTAGGGTTAATCAGAGTTGTACTTTCCAACTAATAATAGTTGTATCTTAATAGATTGTTTGGCTAAAAATTATTATGTACTCTTGTGTCAATCTGTCTCTTTCTTTTCTTTGTGAATACAGTCCAGCCTTCACCTTCAGTTTTCATAAGTATAAAAGTGGATGGTTATTTTTACTGACAAGCTCTCAAAAGGACAAAAATAAAGCAGTGGTCCATATGACTCATGCACTATATTCCAAGTCTTCTAAAAACACGATATACCATCTGAAAAGTGAAATAGGCAACTGGTAGATAGTATTTTCTGCCATATCATATCATTGAAAGTAACTTTTAAAGGGTGCAGAAGGGTTTACCCTCAGAACTAATTTGACTGAAAACCAGCAAATTTAGATATTACCAATTAATTATTTGAACGGGTTTGTGTAGTTGTGTCTCAATCAGCTCCCTAGTTGTGAATCAGTAGGTTGTGTACACAAATTAAGGCATTGATAGGACAGTAAGGAGCTTGGTTCACTACACATTGGGACACTGATGGTCAGTGGTGGTTTTAGACCACAGTGACTGAGGGGCTGGAAAGGGGGCACTCATGCTTTAAGAGGTCACACTCTATAATTTTTTTTATTTTCAGATTTGTTTCATGCAGTTTTTCATATCGTTCATTACTTTTTATGTCACTCCGCAGTCTGTAGATGTGAGCTAATAATTTAATTAAAATTTTTACGTTTGAATGAATTTTATTTAGCCAGTAAAACAAGCAGTTATATTTAAAGAAACATTATGAGTGCATCGAACGTAACTATGTTAAACTGACTTAAAACAGCTTGCGTAACTTATAAAATTAAGTTATAACATAATCAGGGGAGGATTTAACCAATAAGCGAGGTAAGC